AAATGTTGTATTTGTCCACCAAAACGCCACTACTGTTCAGCAGTGGTAATTCTTAATTTAGTGAAACGTAACAAATTAACATTTTATTTATCTTTAGTGAACTACATGAGCACATCTATATACAGCCGTCCTAGCAAGAAAGGTTCTATCTGCAAAATTAGCAGTTTTTTTATCTATGTGCATTTGTCTACATTTTATCTTTCTTGATACCGAAACGGAATGTCTTATTTGCATCGTAAAGGTACTAAAATGTTAAAAGGTTACACAAAAAAGGCTTAAAAGATAATAAATATGTCTGTTAAAAATAGTTAAAAACTCGATAATTTCGAAACAACAAATTTTCAGATAGGACCTTTCTTGCTAGGACGGCAGTATATGATTTCTCTGTTTTTGTATTTTTATAGTTGAGAGTAGGGTTATGAGTAACGGTCGAAGGTATCGATACCGGTATCATGTGAGATACTTTGTGGTAGATGCATCGATACTGTTCGATATTAGGTCTTTTCCTTTGCATCCACAGTGTAGCACTGAGCTACGTCACTTCTGAAAATATCGTTCCATCCATACAATTTGTATAAATGGAACGATATATTCAGAAGTGGTGTAGCTCAGTGCTACAATTTCGATGCAAAGGAAAAGACCTAATATGTTAAAGATATCGATATTTATTAGTATTGAGTAACAAAGTATCGAACAATTAAAATATTTTTTTAAATGGCTGACAACCCCCTTTCAACAGGGCGAAGGGGGAACTTAACAAGAGTTGCATCAGTAAAGTATTCTATAGTTAACAGTTGTTAATGACACCCTTTCTTTCTCTACTGGTACTTTACCTGGTACTGGTATGTTATAGTGTCAATAACTGGCAATTTACCCTATAATTAAATTACAAAAAAAACAGTGGTAACGCTAAATCATATAAAGGTCCATTCCAAGTTCTACCACAATTGAAAACTATATTTTGGTACAAATCATGCATTATTAACGACACGAGATGTAATCAAAATCATAGTACTCTACTGGAAATTGCAGCCATGGTTTCCTATATTTACGAAATTACTTGTTGGTGACTATATCTCTGTAGGCCAAAATAAATAAAAAAAAAAAAAAATTGTTTCGTCCTGTGGTCGAGCCTTACCCTGGTTATAGAACTCTTATCAGGAGATCGTATGAAGGTAGAGGATTGAAAATGGAAAATGCTCTGTAAAATTAATATTTTAGATTTAATAATATTATTGAATTTTTAAATGAACAATTTGTTAAAGGCTAAATTTACTCTATTTTCAATACTATTAGATCGTGTGGAATATTTAGTCAAAGAATACAGAGGATCACTTGATAAATCGTTTTTTGAAGGGTATTTATAAACTTCGTCCTACATTTCCTAGATATTGTCATACGTGGGACCCGTAATCTCTTATTATATTTATACTTATACTACTTGCTCTTTCCACAGCACATAGGATAAAAACTATTTCAAAAATAGAGATAGAGAATACCTGGGGGAGAAAATTGGGATATTAATGCCGAAACTATTGAAATCATCCGGTCCAGGTCATGATCAGCCTAAGTTAATAATACCTTGCTTAAAAAAAAAAAAAAAAAAAAACTAATATGTGTCGCATCGGTATTATTGTTTTATATTGAGAAAACTAAATTAATAAGAGGTAATATTGAGAATTTTCTAATTACACATCGTAAGCCTTACCATGCAGCATCCTATGAAACTGTTTCAAGGGGGATTAAAAAAAAAAAAAAATGTTAAATAAAGAAGGCACTGATACGAATATTTCTTAAGCCTATAGTATTTAAGGCATGCCGCTTCTTTAGCAGCATTTAGAGCTGGAGTTAACATAGAAACGATTAGAGCTGCAGCCGGTACGTTGATCAAAGATTTCCCAGAAATTTTATAAAGTTTATAATAGGCCGCTTATCAATGACAATGAACTAGTGAGAAATATTAACTTCTGATTTACAAATTAAAAATCTAAAGTTTGTTTAATTTTAGAGATTAGCCTAATAGAATATATTTACACCTATTCGTATTTTGATATGGCATTAGATTATAATTAAAACAGTTAAATAATGAAAACATATAATTTGTTACTTTGTACTCTTTTGTATTTTTTTTAATGGAATTTTATAAGAATTTTGATAAAATTTTATAAATAAAGTTACTTATCATTATCATAAGGACTTTATTTATTTTAAGGACTTTACTTAAAAAAAAGGGCATCGTAGAATATCGCTCCCGTGCTTTAAACAACTACATGTGTACTCTATCAGGACAGGACCAGGAAGTATAATTTAAGATTAAACGACTTACCTGTAAGGAAGTTCAATCGTAATTATACGACTGGTCCAGTCCTGATAGAACATCCCTCCCTTTAAAGTAAGGGCTTACTTTTGTACATTACCCAACCCGAAAGGTCGCGATTACTAAAACGCGTAATGAAGTATGGGTGATGTGATGGGACAGAAAATTGTTTTGTTTTCTTTAAAAATAGTGTACGCTTGCATAAAATGAAGCAACTACATGTGTACTCTATCAGGACTGGACCAGTCGTATAATTACGATTGAACTTCCTTACAGGTAAGTCGTTTAATCTTAAATTATTATACTGTTCACACAGTCTGTGAATAGTATTATAGGTTTATTTTGTCCGATATCACGTTTTTTTGTCTGCACGATAAGTCAAAAACGAAAAATGATATCAACTTGAAAATTTCAAACAATAAACAAGCTTTATCTGGGTAATGTTAGGTATTGTGATGAGACTAATCTTATAAAATAAACATTTTAGTTCACTTTGTTTATTTGCCAATAAAAGGTATTTAAAAATATATTATTTTGTTTGATATGTGTGACAAATTGTGAAAATGATTAAATTTACAATAAAAACCGAAAAACGGTAGGTAAAGTGTCATATATTTTTTACACATACATAACTTGATATATATTTAAAAATAATCTGAAAATATAAAGAAAATTCAGCTGACTATAACTAATAATGTTTATAAATGGTTTTCAACGTTATTAAAACAGTATGGTAATATAAACCCAAATAAAAAATCAGCGATATTGACGCTTTTACAAAGTTTTGAACTAAACTTACAAACGATAAAATTATCACGAGCTGTCACTGGGTGTCCCCATCTATGAACGTGGGACGGACTGTAGGTCTGCGATGTAAACACTAAAGAGATATGTATTTTGTACAGTTGTACACATTTCTGTGGTGACCTGTATGCGATATTATTGGAAGTTATATTTTCACAGTCGTGTTTTTTTGTACCAGTTTTGTTTTTGAAAGAAAATACAAAATTAAAAAAAATATATAATTTATTTAAATTCAACCACACGTCATTACTTTGACAATATTTTTGGTACACTTACCACATTTCTTAGGCTTGGGGCACGTCACACTCTTCCCCAAAAGGCACAACGAAAAACTTTTTAGTTTTTAAAGATTTAAAATTATATAAAATAAATAGCTTAGTGGAGTCTCTTTTCGAGTCCACTTTTTTTGGTGTCGAGTTTACAACTAACTTCCTTGTTTGACATACATAATTTTTTGAATATTGCCGATTTGCACAATTTTCATAGTTTAACCAAACTTAAATTACGTGGTTGATGACCTGATATTATTTTAATTAAGCAATTTAATTTCGTTATTATTTCCTATGTATATTAGCAATTCGGCAGTATTTTGTAATCGTTTTTAAATTTGTTTAATTAGGTATGTTTTGACTTAATAAAAAATGCCGAATTAAAAATAAAATGTATCTGTTTAATTTACTTTAATTTACTTTAAAAAAACTAAGAAAAATTATTATTAATATTTTTGGGATTTGTGACAATATAAATTAACATAGTATAAATGTTTGTCACAGAAAGTAACTAAAAAGAAGTACAAAAGTTGTTTCTGTAACTGCTATATACAGTGAGAACTATAAGTCTTACCCCCCTATCTAACTCGTTACTGGAGTCTTGTTAGGAAAATCGCCGAGACAGGTCGATTTTTGATTTCTACAATGTACATTTTTGTATGAATAGTTTACCCTTAATTGCATCCCTTACTGGAGGGGAGTAACCCTTTCGAAAAATTTAAATGGCATGGGGTGGTGAGTGATAGCTCATTTGAAAGAGGGTTTTATTCTCTATTCAACCGTGTAAAAAAATTTGAAATTTGCTTCATTAATTCTCGACTAATTATTGTTTCAGAATAACGGAAATTAACGTAGCGCACTCATCCTTAGAATTAAAATTCGGTCCTGCATGATATCGGTTTTGTTTTAGACGTGAAGTAAGACATTTTGCCATTAGAAGGTCACTGTTAGTCTAGTTGCTTTCCTATTTTGTGAGGTTTTGTTATTTTTAAACATTAATAAATCAACATGTAATGATGCAAATTTCAAAATTTTTTGCACGGTTGAATAGATAATAAAACCCCCTTTCAAATGAGCTATCACTCACCACCCCATGCCATTTAAATTTTTTTAAAGGGTTTTTACCCTCCAGTAAGGGATGAAATTAAGGGTTAACTAATCATGCAAAAATGTACATTGTAGAAATTAAAAATCGACCTGTCTCGGCGATTTTCTTAACAAGACCCCAGTAAGACTTAAGACGCTCACTGTATAATAGGTATATGTTAATGAATATGATGTTAAAATTTAAATATCTATAGGATATTTTAGTACCGCTTTCAAAAAAATGTATCAAGAAAAGTCTCCATGAGAAACGTTACAAAAAGAACTGGTAATGTTTCTTGTTTAGTGGCTATTCCCACAGTCCTGTAAGTCCCTGAAGAGGAGTTTTCAAAATTTGACCACTTCGTATATCAATCTGTATTGTGTCTATAATATGCATCATTATAATTGTTTATAGGGAATTTAGTACGAGTATATTAAGATACGTTATAGTTATACAAGAAAAAAAAACATGCAATTAAGTTAAGAAATATATTTTATTTAGATTTTAAATAATTAAATTAGGATTTAATATTTGTAATTATATACGTTCGGCAATATGAAATAATGAATTATAATCTAATTCAAAAACGTCGGTGGCATACACTAATCTTAGTCCTGTCACATCTTTCACAGCGGATTTAAACACATTAACGGCTCTGAAAAAAATAAATATTTAAATTTTGTAGTCTATTATAAATTGTACATAAATTGCACCCTTGCTGTAAAAGTGACACAACTTAAAATTCGCATTTTGATTATTCAACCCTTCATCAAAACCTCAAAAAGCACACAGGTGCCATCTACACGAGTCTTTACTATGCCAAATTAAAACAATTTTGACGGTTGATATTTTATGGTTGTTTACTATAAAATTCAAGATATCATTAAGTATTAACTCAAAAGTTGTGAATTTTGAGTTGTGTCGCTATTGAAGTAAGGGTGCGGAGACGTTTAAAAAAATCGTGTTTATCCACATACACTTCGCTTCATATAAAGCTGGTACACTTTTTTTCCAATGTTAAACTAACCAAAAATGACAATTAGTCAGATTTATCAAGTTTGTCAAAGCGCATTGCTACGATGCCAGGTCATTTATGTAAGTTAGATAAAATGCAAATAATTTTCAAAATAGAAGATGGCTCAAGTGTAATAGAAATAAAACCACAATTCAGAGAATTAAAGAAAATGGGACAACTGTAGACAGAAAAAGATGAATCGATAACTACAGCACAACAAGATAGAGCATTAATTTATTATTTAAGATGGCATATTTTTAATAGAGCAAGAACAAAAGTTAAAACAAACTTTAATGCTTCAGTAACATACGTTGATTTTCTTTTACTATACGGGGAAGGGTCGCACGGCGCAGCTTTCTGAGTTCCTTTTAAAAGAAAATAGAAAACTCCGCCATTTTGATACCTTATTACGTGTTGCCTACATTTTGACGCAATATTTTTAATAGGTGCGTTTTAATCATCCGCTTCTGCATCGGAATTGTCGGTTTTCTTGTTTTAATCTGACAGGTTAAAACGGCTAAACCGACAATTCCGGAAGCAGAAGCGGATGATTAAAACGCACCTGATATTTTGCTTGCTGCTGTCAGTGACAGTGAATATTATTTTTGGAGTCACAGTTTATTGCTAAAGAATCAGTTAGCTCACTCGGACCAGTTGAAAGTTCCAAAATAACATCCACTGCAGGGATACAAATTCAGGATACGCAGAAGACTGCTGTTTTATTATAGGCGGCTGTCATATATTGTATTATCCGAGTTGCGCAGTGTATAAACTGGAACATTGATATCAAAAGTGCCGACGCAGAGTGAGCGATCTGATTCTTTAGCTATAAACTATGGCATAGGAATCAAAATGGCCGCGCCCTATGTTGGGCGTGTCGGACCTCTCTCTTGCACCGTATAGTAATCAAAGTATGTGTTCAGTAATAAGACAATTAAGAAGAATTAGAAAAATGAGTTGAAGAATTGTGCAGCCGCCCGAAAATTCAAACTTAAGAGTCCTTTCAGACGAAGAAACTGTATGCGAGATACGCGTATCCGAAATACAGAATCGCGGTCGAAAACTTGGGCTGTGTTGAATTCACGCATCTCTTTAATCAGTACTAAAATAGTCACAGTGGCGTGCATAGGTTTGAATTATGGATCTAGAAGAGGGCACACAAAGTACGCATCATATAGGATTTTTTTTTTAATGCTGTAGATGAATTTTGACTTTGCTTCAAAAATGATAATGAATGACATGCAAATGGACAATCATGAGATTTTTGAAAATGTCAAAATTGACATTTTTTGCGAAAAATTAATTTTTTTTTAAAATTTCTAGAAATTCCTCAACAAAAAATGCTTATTTTTTAATATATAACCCAAATAGCAAGTTTTCAAATATTTTTTGGGTTCCTGGAATGTAAGCAAACTTGTATAAAATATTTGTTTAACAAAAAAAAACATTTAAAAGAAGCGCTTCGTGTAAAAAGATTATTTAATGCAAGTTACCTTAAATACCAGTAACCTTAAAATATAAGTGGAAAATTGGTATATGGGTAATAAAATAAAAAAGCAACTTTTTTGACATTTCTTTTTTTTTTATTTTTAGAAGAAAAAAAAATGGCAAATTTGACATTCACAAAAAGTCGAGTGATTAACCATTCGTTATCATTTTTGAAGCAGAAAAATCCTTTATGAAGCGCACTTTATCTATGTATATTAAGGAAAAGTAATCTGTGTGTCCTTGATCCCATAAACAGGAATTAGGCTATACCAAACTAATAAATTTTTTATTCGAATGTGTCCAAAAACGTCGTTTTTCAGACAGTAAACATAGACGAAAAGTAGAACCTTTGTATATACTTTATAAAGTACTTTTTCGACCATGGCCTCTAAAGTTGAGTGCATAAAGTGTTGCATACCGATTAGAATTCTCAAATCTTACATAGGTTCTTTCATAGATATACCATTTTGTATTTTTTTGGAATCAAATTCAAAGATGCCAAAATTTCTGCGTCTCTAATTTCTGGGGACATGCCCGTAATGCATTTTTCGCCACTACTAGTTTTTGTTATTTTTTTTACACCAATTATTAGGCAATTACTAGGTAATTACCAGGTAATCACTAGGTAACTACCAGGTAATTATTAGACAATTACCAGGTAATTACCATATGATTACCATGTGATTACCAGGTGATCACTGGACAATTACTAGGTACTTACTAGGCGATTACTAGGTAATTACTAAGCAATTACTAGTTAATCACTAGGTAATTACTAAGCGATTGCTAGGCAATTAATAGATAATCAATAGGTAATTGCTAGGTAATTACTAGGTAATACACAGAAAAACACAAAATTTTAAACTTAAGCTTTGTTCCAGCGTCTAATGAACTGATTAGATTTTGGGCAGAGTTGGAACATCTGGGGGAATAGTTTATAGGTCGTCATTTTTATATTTTATGGAATATATCTGTTATTTACGTTTGGAAAAGAAAATTCTTCAAATAAAAGTTACTTATAATATTATTCCCTATAATTTTTGTTTCATATATAAAATGAAATTATTAACACCCTAAATTATTGTAAGTTGCTACAGAAAATTTTTATCAGGTATGTGTGTGGTTACCTTTTAATAAAAGCCTTGCGGATCCACTCCTGTGATACCTGTCTTAAATATAACAAAGATCACGTTGAATTAGATGATTTTTACTTTCCTATCTGTATACAGATAAGGAAAGTATAGGAATCATGATTTTTTTCGACCTCCAGTTTTCGACGGATTTTTACGTTTTGGGGTCCCCTGAATCCGTTTTGACTATTTTCGGGATGATGTCTGTGTGTGTGTGTGTGTGTGTGTGTGTGTGTGTGTGTGTGTGTGTGTGTGTGTGTGTGTGTGTGTGTGTGTGTGTGTGTGTGTGTGTGTGTGTGTGTGTGTGTGTGTGTGTGTGTGTGTGTGTGTGTGTGTGTGTGTGTGTGTGTGTGTGTGTGTGTGTGTGTGTGTGTGTGTGTGTGTGTGTGTGTGTGTGTGTGTGTGTGTGTGTGTGTGTGTGTGTGTGTGTGTGTGTGTGTGTGTGTGTGTGTGTGTGTGTGTGTGTGTGTGTGTGTGTGTGTGTGTGTGTGTGTGTGTGTGTGTGTGTGTGTGTGTGTGTGTGTGTGTGTGTGTGTGTGTGTGTGTGTGTGTGTGTGTGTGTGTGTGTGTGTGTGTGTGTGTGTGTGTGTGTGTGTGTGTGTGTGTGTGTGTGTGTGTGTGTGTGTGTGTGTGTGTGTGTGTGTGTGTGTGTGTGTGTGTGTGTGTGTGTGTGTGTGTGTGTGTGTGTGTGTGTGTGTGTGTGTGTGTGTGTGTGTGTGTGTGTGTGTGTGTGTGTGTGTGTGTGTGTGTGTGTGTGTGTGTGTGTGTGTGTGTGTGTGTGTGTGTGTGTGTGTGTGTGTGTGTGTGTGTGTGTGTGTGTGTGTGTGTGTGTGTGTGTGTGTGTGTGTGTGTGTGTGTGTGTGTGTGTGTGTGTGTGTGTGTGTGTGTGTGTGTGTGTGTGTGTGTGTGTGTGTGTGTGTGTGTGTGTGTGTGTGTGTGTGTGTGTGTGTGTGTGTGTGTGTGTGTGTGTGTGTGTGTGTGTGTGTGTGTGTGTGTGTGTGTGTGTGTGTGTGTGTGTGTGTGTGTGTGTGTGTGTGTGTGTGTGTGTGTGTGTGTGTGTGTGTGTGTGTGTGTGTGTGTGTGTGTGTGTGTGTGTGTGTGTGTGTGTGTGTGTGTGTGTGTGTGTGTGTGTGTGTGTGTGTGTGTGTGTGTGTGTGTGTGTGTGTGTGTGTGTGTGTGTGTGTGTGTGTGTGTGTGTGTGTGTGTGTGTGTGTGTGTGTGTGTGTGTGTGTGTGTGTGTGTGTGTGTGTGTGTGTGTGTGTGTGTGTGTGTGTGTGTGTGTGTGTGTGTGTGTGTGTGTGTGTGTGTGTGTGTGTGTGTGTGTGTGTGTGTGTGTGTGTGTGTGTGTGTGTGTGTGTGTGGTGTGTGTGTGTGTGTGTGTGTGTGTGTGTGTGTGTGTGTGTGTGTGTGTGTGTGTGTGTGTGTGTGTGTGTGTGTGTGTGTGTGTGTGTGTGTGTGTGTGTGTGTGTGTGTGTGTGTGTGTGTGTGTGTGTGTGTGTGTGTGTGTGTGTGTGTGTGTGTGTGTGTGTGTGTGTGTGTGTGTGTGTGTGTGTCTGTGTGTCAGTGTGTGTGTCTGTATCCACCATAACTCATGAACCGATACAAAGAAAAACACCAAATTTTAAATTTAAGCTTTATTCCGGCCTGCGGTAAACTGATTAGATTTTGAGCAGAGTCGGAACATCTGGGAGGGTACTTTATAGGTGGTCATTTTTATATTTTATTAAATACGTTACGTTTGTAGAAGAAAATTGTTCAAATAAAAGTTACTTCTTATATTATTTTCTATAATTTTTGTTCTAAACAAAATTTTCCTAAAATGGTCCGTATTCGAGAAATTTGACAAAATGTAAAAAAATATTTTTTTATAAAAATTGTTCGAACAAAAGTTGTTTGTAGTATAATTCTCTATAATTTTTGTATTATACATAATTTCTCTAAAATGGACCGTATTCGAGATATTTGAGAAAATGTGTAAATTTCGAAATTTGAAGAAAACTCAAAAACGTATAAAGAAAAAAA